TGTCCTAGATTCGGCCGAACCTGCTTCAACAGTCGTTCAACCCTCGGCCTAGATTCGCAGCTCCCCGTACTGACGTCACTCGCTATTCCACACGCAGGTGCTCGTGTCCCAGTATTAGTCGTCGATATTACGTTTACACACGGACACACACGCACCCCTCCCCGGCATTCACACAGACGCACGCGTACGTCCTGGTCCCCTCCCTCCCTCCCGTTCATCCCTCGGTGCGGTCTCGGAACTCGAGACACACCGACGGAGTGATGCGCGAACCAGGGCGCATTGTCCTCATCAAGCTGCATTATGCAACTTCTCCCTCGATTCCGCCGTCCCCTTTTCTCCCTCTCGCGTCTTCCGCTCTTTCGTCAAGTCGGCTTTTTTGTTGCCATGGCCAGAGATTCTCTGTCTCTCTCTCTCTCTCTTTTGTCATCGTCGGTATCGCTTTATACATTCATGCCCCTCGTTACGAGAAATGCGATTGCGTCATTTCTAAAGACCAGTTGCACCGGAAAGGCTGCATTAACTAGCTCAAAGTTGGTATGGCCGCGGTGTAAAAGTTCGCCGAATAAAGTTGAAGACAAAATTGCTCAATAATCAAAATAATTTCTACTCATTAGCCATTTAGAGAAAGAATTTTTCAATATTCTTTTTAACAAACATATACTAGTTGCTCTAGACGAAAGTTTCTCCTACATTGTTCTTGACCGTAATTTTAATTATATGATATGTAAAATGTGCTATCGATAATATCTGTGTCAACGTTAATTTTATTGCTACGGAGAAATTTGCATACAACATTCTTCCATTTCACGATCGTCATCTTTGTATAATGATTTTCATGGAATGATATCAGTATATTATGTGTCAGCATTCTTATTATTCATCGAACGCAGATAAATTTATAATTGGCAATGACGTTTATTTGTCGAGTTTACACGTCAAACGATACTAATAATTCGCGATTACAAGTGACATAAAGCGAGAAATGATTGATGGTCGAGGTGCAAATTTTTTTAAGCGTAATTTTCCAGAATAAAACGTAAATTACGGTCTCTGATTGATTTACGATTTGGCAAATAGAATATTTTTATTATGAGATCACGGAAGTATAGAAGTCATTATGCAAATATTTCGATCGATGATGAAGCGACATTTCGGGATAATAAATATCGTATGATTATTGGTTACAAAATTAACGTAACTTTATTTTTTCATTCTGCGGTTTAATTGCATAATGAATGAAATCGTCGGTTAAATCGAGCAGATTGCGTGTAATTAATTATTACCATTGTTGGTTCATTAATAATATATTGACGTTTCATAAACTACTTCTCTGTACGTGGAAATCGGATTACTTCTTCAAGTAAAAGAGATTATGTAACGCATGTGCGTCAGCACGTTTCGCTAATGAAGTTACCTAACAGTAACGGTGGTTAATTTAAAATAGCTTGAAATGATTTTAATCCGATTACATTCGTTAGCAACATTGTTATCGATGATCACTCGATATCTAGTTAAAGCTGGGAGGCTCTTCTTTCGCTATTGAGCTTGATTATTTCTCTGTTTCAGCTCACGGGGTTTCTTCACCAACCTGTTCCGTACAGCAGCATGTCGGAGGTCCGAAAGTATGCTGTCGCCGGTTGGGACCCCGCGTATAAGAACTGCCTCAGCATTGTTCTGTCAGACGGTTTGCTCATACTTCAAGCCAGCAATGCTTACACGAGGGACCAGTGGTATCATTCGATATTATGGAAGGTACGTTAATAAAATTATTGGAACATTGAAAATTAAATTTCGAATTTTATATGAATTTTACGCAGATGTAAATACGACTCAGATTGCTGAAATTAGTTAAATCAATTTTAATTCCATGTTTTATAATTTGTAAAATTATTTTATCGTGTTTTACAATTGTATAATATTTTCCATTATTTGCGTTGATAGAGAATCAGAGATAATTAAATTTTGTATACCTTATTTTTTTAAACTTACGGTTGAATCTATATTTTGAGTGGAATAATAGCATGCCGTGTTTGCGCATCTTTTGAAATGTTTGCGCGTCTTCCGAACGGGCGCAGAACGATCGATGTTAGTTAGACGAATGCAAACGCCGATATCAAATATTTTTTTAATGTCGGCCTTTCGATATCGAACACGGCTCGGCGATGGACGTGTGCAAACATTGCCGTTATTAACACGCAACAATATGAGACTGAAAACAGGAGGAAGTGATAACGGCGCGCGAGGCGAATGTTCTCGAGCGTCCTCGGCCGGATCAAATCTCCCGGATACGTCAGTGTTTTATGACGGTCGCCGCGAGCGATATAATATCCGGTCGAGAAATTAATCAGCGGCCTCTCGTCGTGACGAGAGTAAATCGCGGCAACACAGGTCATAACGATTGATTGAATTTTATTGTTTACGGCGTGATTTCGCCGATGGAAACGTTGTTCGTACATTGACAACTGGATGTCGATGACTTCTGCGAGGTCGACCTTATTTAAAGGGTGACACACTCAGCTGCGTTTTATTGCTAATTTGATGCGCCGAAGTTCTAACGTCTAAGTTAATTAAACATAAATTATACAATAAATTACGACAAAGTTTTTCTATATTTTATTTTTCCTAAGAGGATTTTGTTGATATTAAATCGTGATTTTCTTGTTATTATTTTTCCTGAGAGGATTTTGTTGATATTAAATCGTGATTTTCTTGTTATTAAATGTTGGGAAATAATTCAAATTACCGCAATTTGCTTCACTATTCATTATGCGCTTATAATGAATGTGAGTTTCTTATACCATAATTACATGCTTACATAATTTTGTAACAATTATAATTTATAATTATGTTTCGTAGGTTCATAAAATGTATTATTTATTTATGTTTTGCGTGCTTGTTCGCAGAAAAGTATCTTCAAGTACCAACACTTGGTGTCGACGAGCACTCGAGAAGAGGTGATACTGCGCGAATTGCGCATCATGGTGGACTTTGCTCTGTGGACGCCGATTCAGGATGAGAGAGTGGCGGGTGCGCCGCTGGAGGCGGCCGCCAAATTGCTCGAAGAGCCCGGCGTGGACTCCGACTTGGATACGAAAACCGACGATACCGTGCGCGATCGCAGAAGCTGGGCAGAGGCTGTGCTCTCCGTGGTCGTGCCTCTTCTGGAAAAAGCGGCCCCGCAGGCATCGCTCGCGCGAGCGCTCGCCAGACTGGCGCAGCAGCATCCGCGATCCCAGCTGGTCCCGATGCTCAGCCCGGCGATCACGAGATGTCTTAAGCACACCGTTGACTTTGGCAAGTCGCCGGACATGAGAAAGTTGTTGCAGGTGGGCGTTCGACGCGTCGATTCACGTGTCTGCCATATTTTCGTCTTGCGTGGCTTGAATCATTTCACGATCAAACGATTCGTCCGTTTTTCTCGCTTTATTAACGCACAAACATACAAGGTCTGCTCGACGAATTATAAACAAATTCTGTATTACAATCGGGTTAAATATTCGAAGCACAAATTTTGCTATATAAACTTCTATCTAGACGAACTCTAATCGACGATCTGAATTATTTTTGCGAATTTTAATATATACGATTGTGCATAGGTCTTCGTTGCCGCTTTGTACGAGAACAACGATGGCGAGCAGGCAATCAAGGATTATATTTCGTCGGTTCACGGGCCGGGCAGCGACTGCCCGCACCCGAGGGTGCTTCCCAATCTGGTGTCCATCTGCGTCGCGGCAATATTCCACAGGCAAGTGTCGCCATCGAGTTATAATGAAATTACTCGCGCCGTAATTCGGACAAGATTTTTACAGCGATTTTTACCGATTCTCACCGCAGGTTCGAGGTATCGAATCGTGCGTCGTCGAACGAAAACAAACAACCGCCGTCGCTGCCGCCGCTGCAATGCTACTTGCTCGTCTTGAATATCGCGTAAGTGTTCTGCATCGAATATGCGCCTTTCATTCTGTTCGATATTTTATCTGCAATCCTAAGTTCGTCTTATCTATCGAAAAATGGCATTCCAGATCGGAATACGCCGACTGGCGTCCCGGTCTCGGAGCACTGTTGCAGCCCGTCCCGTTCCCGGAGGAGGCCTTGGCCGTGAAGGAGGTGCAGGAGTCTGTGCTGATATGCGTGATGCAGCGACTGGCGAAAGATCCGAGATGCACGGTGCACCGCGTGCTGCTGCCTGTCAGAGAACCGCGTCCAGGCTGGTTACACATCGCCGCACCGTCTAGCCCTGCGTGTCCAGATCGTGGAGAATTGTTCGGCGAAATGGTGAGACCTTTCGTAATTTTTTTACGAAAATTAAAACAGCATTTTGCATCTTGTTAATTAAGTTTATTTAACATTCAACAGACTGCTAGGTTTTTAAAATGTTAAAGTATTGGCTTGTGTCCGGAAAGTTCGTGATGTTTTTTTTGCAACATCAAAGTCAATGTTTTTATGTAAATCTGTATTCATTAAATTACGTATTCGCTGTTTTTTTTCACAATTTTTCGTCATCTTTCTGATAATTTAAATTTTTTATTCTGTCATAATATTTAAATTGCAAACTTGTAGATATTTATTCATGCAAATAAAATCTATAAAAACGGCAATTTTTTGAAGAACTCAATGTTGCTATTTGTTTACTTTTAGATGTATGCAGATTAAGAATTTTATTAATTGATTGCAAAAATTAATAATATTTTTAATAGAACTTTTACACATAAAGAAAATTTTTTTGATTAAAATTTTTAATATAAACATAAAGAAATTGAACATGATAAAGATAAATGAATACGATACTTGTGTATTTTTCTCTTTTTAATTCTCTACAAATTATTGGTTTTATATCAGAATCGTACTTAGGGAGAGATATAAATATTTATTCGCCGAATAGAGAACGCATATGCAATACGAACGGATATGCAATTATCGCGCTTATCGGCGCAACAACATGGAATTTTTTTAATTATAATTTTTAATATTAACATAAAAAAGCTGAATGTAATAAAGATAAAGGAATATGATACTTGTGTATTTTTCTCTCTTTGATTCTCGTACAAATTACTGATTTTTTGTCAGAATCGTACTTAGTGAGAGATATGTATTTAAATATCTATTCGGCGAATAGAGAACGCATACGCAATATGAATGAATATGCAATTATCGCGCTTATCAGCACAACGACATCGAATTTATCCGCATGTGAAGCGATTGTGCTATTCAATGCTGCAATCTCGACGAGCTAGGCGTCTCGAATCGCAGACCTTCCCGGTCCCCGCGCGATAACACACCGGAATAAGATTTGTTGTTCAGAAACAATTCATCTCGGGCGAGCACACACAGGCGGCGATTATTCTCACGGCGATTCGATCAGCGCGGCCGTTCATCTGAATATTCATGAATCGCTCTTTTGAGGCGACGCGACGCGCGCGCACGAGCACGCTCGTGCTTTCAATGGGCCTGTATCGACAGCATCCATTCCAATCTCTAGTATAATCGCGGAACTGAATCGCCACAACCGCGCGGAATTAATGAGGTCTGTCGAGTGATTGCGGGAAAGTGAATGGAGCAGGAAGCGTTCATCGCGACGGGCATTCGATGACCTTTGCGCCGAATCGATGCCATTCTCGATTATAGCTGACGCTAATTCCATCATCGAGAAATTTCAACGAGCAAATCGAGCATTGTCTCATCTCTACGTGTATTCACAATAATTGCTCATTTAAATTCAGGAAATAAATCTGGAAATACCCTGTCATTTACATTGTAAGAGGTATAGTGATTTACGCAAGAATAAATAGACGCTAGAATATTACTTTTCCAACAGCTTACGACTCTGTTGGCGTGCTGCTGCCGGCGGAAGAGATTTATCGCGTCTCTGCTGAAGCAGGCGGGCGACGATTGCATCCTATTGGCGGTGCGGGGCTGCGACGCCGCGCAGGAGGCGCTGTGCTTGATGCTCGAGTGGCGTTTGCTGCCGAACGAGGAGGCGAGACTCCAGATAGTTAACGCGCTCGAGTCTACGGAATCCGGCAAGGAGCGCTACGCCGCTCTCTGCCAGAGGCAGAAGAATCTGCAGGAGCTGGTAAGCGAATCCGCGAATTCTTTTGGGGGACGACGCAAAAGGCGATCCATCGCTTTCGCACGCACGCTTCGATAAATCTGTCGCAGGCAATTTAAGCAATTTGATTTTGATCTTGTCAGCAACAGAAAGGCGGGCCTCGGAAACTGACGCTGCCGGTGCGAGCGACCGACGCCGACGTCGCCCTCCTGCTGGGCGGTCGCGCCCTCGGCAATCTCGAATGCCTCAGTCTGGCCTTTACCTCCGTGACGTCCGCGTGTGCGGAACAGCTGATCAAATTGCCGGCACTGAGATATCTGAATCTGTGGGCCACGCAGTTTGGCGATACCGGCCTACAGATGATCAGCGAGCATCTGCAGAAGCTGCAAGTGTTGAACCTATGCGAGACGCCCGTGTCGGATAAAGGCATCTCTACGTTGGCCTGTGAGTATCTTGATGCTAAAGTTCTTAAGAAACTTGGTAAAACAAGAATCTAATTCACTTTCCGATAAAATAATTTTTAGTTTGAAGCGAATAATAATTATAAAAATATTTATCTGATTAAAAATTTGGAAAATATTTTTCGTCTACGGAGAGTTATATCTTAAAATGTGATGTGTAATTAAATTAATTATCAAACAAGCAATACTAACAGTAATTAAGGGAATATAAAAATATAAACGTGCTGTGTATTGAATAAATAATGTGGATTAATATCTTCCCACATTTTGAAATTTTGTATTTAAGTTTTGAAAAATGTGCTTCCTTTTTGTTGCAGCATTAACCAGCCTAAGGAAACTGAATCTGAATAGCACGAAGCTGTCGGCGCAGACGTTCGAGTCACTGAAGAAGCGACTGCCGGCTTTGCAAGAATTCGACGTTCGATACACGGAGGCCTGGTGACCCGAGATTACGCTGCCGTCGCCCGTCGACGGCAAAGATTATCGTGACTTGAAAACGAAGAAACAACGCTAAGGTGCTCGATTATTTAGAGGTGAAATTCGAGTGACTTTATCATTTCAGTACTTTCAGTGTAATCAAATTCGATCGAATGTGAGCGCGATAGATTCGTTTTGCTTCGATTTTGCCAATCTGCGCACCTAGCAAAACAATCGCTAAAGATATGAATCTTTGTCGATGAAACTTCCCAAGAAGACGAACGAAAGTCTCTTGCTAAATCCAGTGCAGGACGAGTGAAGAGCACACTTCATCGTGTCTTTACGTGCTCTCGATGTAGTTTATACTTCTTCCGGTTTAACCGCTCGACGGTTTGTTCTTTCCAGACGGCGATAAATCCAGACGACGCGACGGATGGACGATATCAATCAAATTCGCGCGTCTACATGAACGCATCTTCCATTTTTGCTAGATATATCATTTACTCGAAATGACATTAAACGAATTTTCTTCCTAAATTCAAGTGTCAACGAGTTTGGTTCTCGGCGGCGCTCTTATGAGGGACGATTAATCAAGACGTGTTTTCCGAGGACATTCCAGTATGCAAACTGAGACGTTATTTTTCCGAAAAGACGCACATCCGCGCGAATAAACAGAGAGATCGGGCGAGTGACGAGCGTTCATGGTATTCGCGTAGAATGCGAGTCCGAACGGAGCGTGAAGATACGCGCAAGGAGACACGTGATCGCGTCGAGGAGGCGATCGTTAGAGTCGTGGAATGTGAGTCGTTTGCTCGGCAAGATGTCCAAGTGCCACTCATAGGAAAAATACCGAGGGAAACATTCGCGCGATACGGATGCGGCATATTGTGTAGCAATAACGCGCTTGGCTCAAATGACGACGATTTTTATTGCAAGCGACTCGCATTTAACGATCGCTCAAGTTTTACACAATCGAGAAAAGACCGATTTCGTAGCAACTTTAACGATAAATTTAATTTCAGTTCAAGCCTTCATCCATCCATTTCTAGTTTTAAGAAAGCGAGTTGTTTTTATTTCTTCTTACGTCAGAAGTGTTAAGAGCGTAATATAACTTCATCCTCCTGTCCTTTGTATCTTTTTTATACTCGTGTACGTCATTTTCTAATGATGTTACTTTTTGATGGAGATTAAAAAAAAATCTAGTGCATTGCCATTCTCGATTTTCGTTTATTAAGCGCGCGCGTCATCGCAGCGAGCGCGAGCGTCGTGTTCATCGTTTACGCTGATAAAGCTGAAAGTCGTTTAGAATTATCGCGGGGCAAAAAGATTTTATTAGCAGAGTTAGCCAGTGAATGAAATAAACATTCTCGCTGGCGAATAGCGTAACGAAGAATCATTCGTCAGTCTTTCCTGTTTGCGAAACGGACTTTCTTTAGCTCGCAAACAGGAGAGAGCGGACGGTTTATCATCCATCGTTTGTCACACGAGTCCTGCCAGCGGTAATCAGTGAAGATCACGCTAACGACTGTGATGATCTTCCGCGATCTTCGACGCGAAACAAAGACTGTTCCCGATCGAGTGTCAGCGCGTCGCTGAACCGCAGCCGCCGGTCGATCCCTTCGTGCGAGAAGTGTCCTTTCGCGGGAGACACTCTCGATTTGCGCTCCTTCTCGTTCGAGGCGTGCTCAACTGCCTTATAATCAGAGTTCTGAGCGTTTTGAGCGACCACTGCCACAACGCGCGTGTCGCGTCAGCGCGAGCGCGATTTTTACTCCGGAATGGATCTGGGCATGGATTCACGACTTCCGGTCGATTTTCGTGATTGCCTCACCGATGATCGTAATAAGACGCCTTAACACATACCTTAGTTATGGCCTTAATTACGGTCTTAATTACGAAGGGTGAAGGGAGAAGATGGTGAACGGCAATTACGGTCAAAAATCGACCGGAAGTTGTAGATCTCGCGCAGTTCTGTTCTAGAAAAAAAAGAAAAAAAAGAAGTGAAACTTCGCGTCCGTTTTATCGTAAAGACGCAGCGTCGCGTCCCGTGTTTTATCGTAAAAAACGAAGCTTTGCATCTCGCGTCTTGCCGCAAAAGGGTAAAAACTGCGAAGCTTCGAGGCGCGGAGTCGACCTCGTGCATTTTGTTTCCTAATGTAAATAGATAAGTAGACAAGTAAGGATCGTTCCCTCTCTCGTTTCTCCTCCTCGATCATTACGTAGATTTTAATAATTTATTCTCTAGTTAGAAGAAAAAGGAACCTCTCGTATTTATATAAATATATATATATACATATGATACTACATATATGTCGCACGATCCAGCTCGTACTAGCGCGAACGCGCGTTTAGGGGAATAGTCGAGTTTTTTTTTTAGAACGCTGGTAAGGAAAGGGGGGATAGAGAGGGTGCCCTGTTCGTAAGGGCGACGGAGAACGGTGACCGGCAGTTTTGCAATCTCGTCACGGACATTGAACGCCGCAAGGGAACAAGCATTGTAAGAAGACTGTTTACGTCAATTTCAATAAGGATCATTAACTTAGGGAGTTTACGATTTACTCGAGTTATATAATTCCTCAGCTTCGGCGCCCGAACGAAGCGGATAAATTCGAATTTCTTGATACCTCACAGGATCCGTTTTGTTGCGCGCCTTTCGTTATCTTTCCTCACACCTCTATGAAATCTCCTGCGATTCTGCGTTCGTTTTTGGCTGTCGCGACTCGCCGCACTAGTTTTCTTTGATTTATATCCCTTACATCATACCTCCCCCATATTGTAATTCTAGCCGTTCTCAGCGGTGAAATCTGTAAAACATACTCTACCGTTTAGACGTGTTATCGAGAACGAATGGAGTTTCAGCGTTAAATTATTAATATCGTATCTTTCTTTGACATTTTCGTACGAATAAAGTGTTTAATCGAAGAAAAATTGTCGCTTACGTATGTCGTTTATTGCCACTTACAGAATTCCTCAATCAATTGTCATCATTAACTAATCTTTAGTTACTTTTTTTTCAGAGATATAAAATACGAAGGATATCAAAAGGCTAATGGCTTCTACAAACTGACAACTTTATGTTGTTTCAATGCTAATTGGAGAAACGAGAATATTAAAATAGATAACAGTGAAAGTATTCATTATTTTATTTTGTTCTATTATTGAAATAATTTTTAGGACATTGCATCTTAGAGAGATAAATACGATCATTAAAAGTAATCGTAATTTTATACATTTTGTATTGCAGTCAGCGTACATATTAATCGATATATCGTGACTCTGTACGTACTTTTTTTTAAATATCCGCAAAAGGTAAGTACATTTGATTTATAATATAACACTGACGTAATATATTCGAATAAATTGTTTTTAATACAATAGAAATTGATTAATAGGTTAAACAGGAGAAATATATTCGCCACTTTCTAATATTATTAGAATATTATATATATATTTGTTACAAGATTTCTATATATCTATCAAATGTACAAAATTTCTCATGAAATTTCGAATTTATGCAAATTAAGTTTATACGCGCTAAAGATGCGCTATTTTGGCGATCGATCATAACAGATTATAATTTGCATCGATCGTTTTTTAATTATTCCAAAGTTATAAAATAGCTATTAATAAATTTAAACTTTTTATGATCCCTGGACTCTTCGTTTTTTCGCAGTAAATCGCCGAAATCGTCTGTTTTAAAAGTCGTAATTCATTCGGCGTCGCGTTATTTGAGATTGGCTGCCGATATTTTCCGCTTCTATCTCCCTCTTCAGGCTCTCAGGTAACTCGTCCCATACGGTTCTAGGCACAGTATCTGAAAATAACATGAACTTTTTGTGTAGAAGCATCAGTTATAGATTACATGGAACTTGATATTTTGCAGATTTTCGTCATGATAAATAAAAATCTTAGAAATAGCCAACTGACTTCTTCAGATATGATGCGTTAAACTGTATTTGTGTTAAAAATTGCTGTCGCTCGCTTTACCTCTGCATCTGTACAGTAAATCGGACCAGGTGATCATCTCTTGCGAGAAGCAGTAGACGCCGAGTTTACCGCCCTTCAGGGTCGAATCGAACAGGTTTCCGGAGTCGGCCACCTGCTGCGTGCCCTGATAAAGCCAGAATCTGATCAGACCGATCTTCGGTCTGTGCATCAGATGCCACCTGTACGACACCCTCTGCTGCCAGCCCATCTTCTTCGGATCCGTCCACAGGACCTTCACCTCATTGGGCGTGTCGTACTTGTGCCAGAGAGCGTTTCTGAGCATCTCGCCCGGTCCGGTCGCGGACTGGACGAGCTTCAGCTGAATGCCGGGTTCGCCATCGGCGCGGAACGGAGTCGGTTGCCAGTAGGTTTGCTCGCCCTTCTTCCAGCAAACGATGTAGAAGTGTCGATTGTCCTGATAGGAAAAGACGAAGCCCACGAAGTCGTCGTCGTCGTCGTTGTCGATATAGAACGTTCCTTCGAAGTCGACGCCACTGAGCTCATCCGGTCCTTCGCGGATAGAAAAAAATAAAAGAAATATATGAGGACGCGATAGTCTTTGTCGGAGCTCGTTAATAATTGATTAGGAATTTTTATTCAGCAAAATATACGAATATATTTTTACGTAGAAACGAACTCACCTATGGCGATTCCAGGATCGCTATTGAGAAGCTGTTGGATCTCGGCTCCGTCATTGTGTATTCGCCACGCAGGATCTAATTGCGAGGTGCCGACCGGATCGAGAGGGATTGTCACGTATTTACGGAAGTCCGTTGCCCATATTAAACTGTTGTTGGGACAGTTGTCGTAGATGTTGATGACGGTGTCGTTGTCGTTATCATTCCAACATGCATCGCCGATGCCGTCGTCTATGTACATAAAATGGAACACGGTTGTAAATCATGATGCAATTAATCTTTAAATCTCTTTCTTTCGTAATGATTATAATTATATTTAGTATTTGTGTATATAATTAATAATTGATCTTTTATACGATTTTTTACATAATCACACATAACATTCTGCTCAAAATTAAAATATATAAAGTAAGTAAAACATAAACTAATTTTTGTTCTAGACTTAGAAAAATCGCGCTGTTTAAATGGCGTTAGAAAGAATAGATTTACGATTCATGTCACGTTGATCCGGATTGTATACGTAAGGACAGTTGTCGATCCTGTTCGGCACGTTGTCGCCGTCGATATCATCATCGCACTCGTCGCCGACACCGTCGCCATCACCGTCGTTCTGTCCGGGATTCACCACGTCCGGACAATTGTCCCTGTCGTCCTGAATACCGTCCCGATCGCGATCCTGATCGGTGTCGCAGGCGTCGCCGACGCCGTCGCCGTCGCGATCCGTCTGATCGGAATTGTTGACGGTCGGGCAATTGTCGCAGGCATCGCCGACGCCATCCCCGTCGGTGTCGCGCTGATTAGGATTCTTCACCTTTTGGCAATTGTCCTGAGAGTTCGGAATACCTTAAATGATATATCTCTATCAGTGCAATGTGCCAATTTTTTCATAAAACTTAAATCACTCTTTGATTAGTCTATGAATTAATTTTCGTTGAAAATTAAACTTATATAAAATCTTGATATTAAATATTTAACAGTGCGAGACTGTACCGTCGTCATCGATGTCGCTGTCGCACACGTCGCCTATCTCGTTGTCGTTGGTGTCTTCTTGCTTCGTATTCCAAATAAACGGGCAATTGTCGCAGGTGTCGCCAATAGTGTCTTGGTCGGTGTCCAGCTGATCTGGATTATAAGCGAACGGACAATTGTCGTGTGGATTTAGGACGCCGTCGTTGTCGGCATCATCGTCGCACGCGTCGCCGATGCCGTCTTCGTCGATGTCCTCCTGTCCGCTGTTTGGCACCGTCCGACAATTGTCGGCGTGGCAGCGACGATCGTGGCAGCGAAGACTCCTGTCCGGAATACCGTCGCTGTCGCTATCGGGACCACAGACGAGACCATTTCCGGCCCAGCCGACGTGACACTGCAAAGAATATGTCGATGGATTATTAACTTTAATTCATAGATAAATATTAATTGATCAAATAAATTTTAGTGTTGGTAAAAGTCAATGCCAGTTTTTTAAAATCATGAAGAAAAAATTGTAGTAATTGTAATTTAAAAAAAATTGCCATTTTTTTAACTTACTAAGCTAATTGATTGTAAGTTTCCTAAATACGTTTTTCACATTTCATATCTTTAATTATACATTTTCTAGTAATGCTGCAATTATTTGTAGGATTAAAAACATTGCAACAATCCTTTCCACTTTACCTTGCATATATATTCATTCAAGTGTATGCAAATGCAGTCGGCATTGATGTCACAGACCGTCACCATATCTGGACAGACGTCTTGTCGAAAATGACATCCCACTGTTTGATTGCCGACGTAACCGGCCTTACACGGTCCGCATCTATAAGAACCCTTCAAACACGAAGGCAGTTGAGAGAGAAACGTCGAAATAAATTTTAATGCATTTATCTCTGTTAAAAGCTTCAAACCTTTTTTGTCAGATTTCTCACCTCCGAGTTAATGCAATCCGAATTGAGATCGCATCCCCCGTTGTTGGTTTCGCATTCATTTATGTCCCGACAGATCTGTTTTCGCCCTCGGGCCATTTCGACGCCGACACCTTCCGCCACTGACCCAGTGTAGCCCGTCGGACACGACTCGCATCTGTATCCGGGATGGAGATTGATGCACCGCACTCCGGGATGACAGGGACGAGCCAGTTCGCATTCGTTCGCATCGAGACAGACCGTGCCGTTGCCCACGTATCCCAGTGGACACGGACCGCATCTGTATTTGAAATTGACGAGAGATCAGACGTGGAGTTCTCGCGCCACGTCTCTCACACGTCATCGAAGAATATAGCGGAATGCGAAGAAAAAATTGCAAAATCGAAAATGAGAATTTAAAGAGCTGGAAATTTCATTACATTATTTTTTGTATTTAGAATTAAAGGTCTGTTTTAATTGCATTTTAAAAATAATTTTTTAACGCGATTTTTTTTTTATTTTTTTAGGAAGAGCTAATTTAAGTAGCATTCAAATAAACGAGGGAAATTCTCCAAATGAGAGCGCTGATGCTTACTTGAAATACGGCGGAGTATCACTGGAGTAGCACTTAACTTCCGAATGACAAGGATGAATGTCGCAGGGGTTCCTACGCCTTTCGCATCTCTCGCCGTCGCCGATGTATCCGCTCGGGCATCTACCGCATCTGAAACACAGAATTTAAATGCAATAAAGAAAAAAGTTTTCACAATAGTACACAGAGAGTGTCGTACTCATCGGAATGTTATTTATTATTGCAAATTACTTTCAAATTATTTGCACACTTGCATCTCAATTACAGATCTTGTTAATCGGTGATAATTTTACCTGTAACCGTCACCGATGTTGTAGCACTGCACCCCGGAGAAGCATGGCCGTTCCACGCAGGTGATGACGTTGATTTTGACGCAGACCCGTCCGTTTCCGGTGTAACCGTGGGGACAGGAACCGCACTGGGGTCCGCTCGGTGTGTTGCGACACTCGGCGCCAGGGTAGCACGGGGAGTTTTTGTCGCACGTCTGCGGCGGCGGTGGTCGCACTACGGAATTACCGGGATCACGGCTCGAGTGACGAGTGAGAATTGCCAATTTTTGTTTTTTTTTTACTTTTTATTCTTTTCTTTTCGGGGGGCGGGGGAGGAATTTAGGGTCTCCGGTCTCCCACACGCGCCGTGCGCATCGCCGAGCGGCCCGGCACGGGTCCGGAATTTTATGCGACGGCCCAGCGTGTCGTACGTGCAAGCGATGCGCGTGTTTAAAGAGATGACTTAAAATCGGATTTCTCGCATTCTCGATTTTCTTAAAATAGGGATAATGCGGGAATGACGATAATGCAGTTGCAAGGCTGCTTAGCTTGAATCTCAGCTTAATTTCTGCTCATGAAATGTTGGAATGTAAAAATATTGCACAAAAAGGGAATAGAAATTTTCCTGATAATTATATTTCAATAAGATTCTCATGCGACTTGCAAATTTATCATCGAAAAATAATTAGCTCGGAAAAATTAGTCGTCGAAAAATTTGCATCGAGTGATTTTTGCGAATACAAATTGTGCTTTTAAGTGCACAAAAGTATTCGCTAATTGCCCGCTAATTATCGAGAAAGATATTTAAAATGGAAACATGAGCTGTAGATTGCGCAACGCAAGAACACAAGAGTCACAACAAAGTTGAATTTTTCTAACAACAGGCGTTTTATTGCGTTGTAAGATTACTTAATACAACTCGCTGCATATAAATAGATATTTTCACTGATAATTACCACGTACAGATTAAATTCGAGGGTGTAAAGGACGACGCGCGGCAAATAGATAAACAGAATCGTTTGGACTGACATTACGGTGTTCTGTTTTGACTAACTTCTAAGGTAACTGTTATTTTCGAGCACGTGTCCTTTCAATACGACGGAACGTCACTCACCGATGGGTGTACGACACGCCGAGCAGTTTTCGATCAAATGACGAAGATGTTGAGTTTCCAGCCGCTGTAAAAACGGAAGATAATGATTCTTAAATTTTTTTCAATTGTACACAGACATATTTTCCAAAATATTTTAATAATAAAACGCAAAGTTAAACCCAATATTTGTAAAAATTTCTATTCAAAGAAATTAGTGTTTAGACATATCATTTTTATCAAGTGACATGTACGATGTTTGATTAATTTAATTTTTAATACAATTAATGCACAGCGAATATAATAATTCAAGATTCGAAAATTTATTAATTTTATTTTGGAAAAGAATGGTTTTATTCTTTCTTGCTTTACTCACATTTTGTTCCAGCTCCCTCCAGAGTTTCCTGGTGGCGTCGATTAACTCGTTCAAAGTTTTCGCGATCTGACCGTCGGTGAGGCAGACTGGAAAAAAACATTTTTCATCGAGATTACATTAGATCTCTAACAATTTAATTTAACGTCCGCTTATCTGACCTACCTTTCTCATCTAGACTCTGGATTCCAATATCGCCTCTATTCGGCTCTCTTTTGCCTCGTTCATTAGACATGTCCGTCTGATTCGGATAATCGTATCGATTGTCGTCCGGACGGGCGGAGGGAGAACTCGGTCGATGCGCGGGTCGATTGGTAGGTCCAAAATGAACGGAGCCGTCTGGCGTAAGTGAAGGAGCTTTATTGTGATTGTACGGACTCGATCCATCAGGTCGATTAAAGCCGCGTTGATTCGGTCCATCGAGCTTCGAATTTGACTGATGATCCGGTCGCTTATTGAGATCAGATTGATGATTCGGTCTCGGTCGTACGCTGGGCCGTTCTTTAGAATGCAGTTTGTTGAGATTTTTAGTAGGACGATATTGCTCGTCGGGAAACTGCAGAGTGAACGTGGAATGCGACGGACGAGAATTGTCCGTGTAATCGAAATCGTCCGTCTCATCTGGTCGCTTGGTCGGAGAGTACGCATCGGCAGAGTCGAACGGATCGGAAGAGCCATACGGATCGTATTTGTCATGTGCGCCGCCGAATTCTAACTGATACGAGTCGTCCCTTTTCTTGTGCTTATCGTTCGGACGACCGTGTTGATCGTGATCTTTCTTGTCGCCGGGTTTCTTGTGATTTGGACGATGATCGGGATGTTTCGCGTGATTTTGTTCGCCAGACGGCGTCAGATTGTTACCCTGACTCGATATGGTTGATCCTTCGTCGATTCCGTCAGGTCGATCGATAGGTTTCTTCGAATCTTGTGCGTTGAAATCATTGGACTCGAATATCGAAGGCTGTTTCATGTCGATCAGTTTGTCGGGACATTTCTCCTTCTTCAGCACTTCGTTGATGCTTGAGAAATCGTAGATTTTCGCCTGGCATCTTCGTTCTCTGAGCTAAAAGAATTTTTAAATAATTTTTAATAAATTACAATATATTATTGTCGTATTCACACAATTTTAATTGCCAATTAAACGCGCATTGTATTTAATATCTTACAAAAGATATTTGCATAATAAATTTTTTAATTTTACTAAATTGGTGTGAACAATTTGGAGAATAATTTATCTTAATATACATATTTCACGTAGCAATAAAAATATAGAAATGTTGGTAATAGAGAATTTTAGCTACTAAATCGGCGAGGATTGAGAGTAGTCGTAGAATGACAATGCATAAATTCAGAATGCGCTCGTAATAACGCCAGTGACAGAAATGGAACGCGTATAATTCATTGAAACGAATTCAATTCATCCGAGCAGCCGGGGATCGTCGTGAGTTGTCTGAGTTGGGTAAGCCAACCCAGGTGCACGTAATAGAAGCAACTAGCTCAGGTCTCGTCAACCATATTTGGAAAGGCATCGTCCCACGTTTGTAGACGTCATGGACAGCCCGTAAATAAGAAACTGCTGTGCCGTCGCAAGAGGAGAAAGAAAGCGACAGCGGGAACAATAATATCGAACGCGAAATGGAAAATAAGCAGAAATGCGCTTGGAAAGTGATTCTAAATTTGTCACAAGTAAAATAGGCCATTCAGACATATTTATATATTATTATTTTTAAATTTGTCGTCATATTTGTTACGTAAAAAAATGCACGAATCGATGCAACGCAAATATTTAAATTATCCGCGACCGAGAGATAAAAGAAAAAGCTAATTTGAGCGTAAAAGCGTGTATTTAAAATTTATTCTAGGCGATTGTTGAAGAGAGCATTTCATTGTCGGAAGCTTACCACTTCCACGAGCGGGTTGTCACTGGACTCGGCTATGTCGCGGAAGGTTTTCTTCAACGGTATCGAGCCTTCGTAAATGCAATCGACGTACACGTCCACGCGAGTATTAGGCTGCGCCTGATGCACTACGATGACCAGGCTCTTCAAGGGTGTGTTCACCGCGAGACTGTCTACGTTGACGTGGCCGGCGCTGCGTCGGCCGGATTCGTCGAGGCTCTCGAGAACGACTGCATCAACGTTAATATTTTAGTACGCAAAATTTTGCTTTCGGGAAAATTGGAGAAAGAAGTCTGTGTGGGCTCACCGCGCTTCGTCCGTCGATCGAGTATGAGCACCATTTTGGTTTTTGAGTTGCACTTCACGGCTAGTAGAGTGTCGATCGAGTTGCTGCTGGATTGTTTCTTCTTGGATTTGATGTTGGACAGCGCAATAACGAACTTGTCCTCGTACCACGCATCCTGCAGGCTTGTAGTGAGAACTGGAAGTCGACGCGATTTGGAAAAAAAGATAATATATAATAATACTGTACTAATTAAATTAAAATGGGATGTGGTGATAATTAATATTATAGATAGATTATTATTGTTTGTAAGTTCTTTAAAAACGTTATTTGATATTAAAAAAACATAACAGAGAGCAGGATACTGTAAACAAGAGTTGAGTGACCGTGGAGACGCAACACGCATTGGTCATCGATCTTATCGGGTTTCTTGTCGCGTCTGTACTGGTCTTCGACAAACGCGTGCAAACGCGTCTAAGTCACGAAAGATGTCGAAAGGAATGTTGCATTTTACCGTGAATGTAAATGGCGATAAAAAGCGCGAGATGCAAATTAATTCTAAACGCTTAATGTTAAACTGCGGCCTAAAATATTTCACAGAATCGAAATTCTTACCTTCGTCGGGTACGACACTGCTATTGACGGCGCAGACAACGAGCAGCAGCCCGAGGATCAGTACGGTCAGGACTCGCATCCTGGTGCGATCCCGATACACTCTGCGCGAATCTTCAAATTATCGGCGGCCAAAGTACGAAAGAGGAATTAAGTCGACTGCGCGAAAGCGCGCGTTTCTTCACCGTAGATCTGTTTGCTGCACGATTTTTCTTCAACGCGAATCCTCTCGAGGCTTCGTATCGGAATCGCAGTGCGGAGGATTCTGACGGATACGACGGCACGCGCGAATACAGTAGGCACGGCCGCCGACTGGAGCGCGGATACGGACCGTCCGCGACTTTATACGTCGCCCACGAGTACGGCTTTACGAACGAGATTTTGTGCATGTTACCTGCACTGATCGCAAGCAGAGAAAATATTGATGAATCAGGATTATACTAGGATTACCAGGCCTTCCATTACGGTAAAGAGTCTATATATATGCTGCAGTATCTCTGAAGAAGATGAAAGCGAGAGGCTGTTAATACGAAACCAGTTGTAAGATAAAAAATAAAAATTCAATATAATTCAAAATAAGAACAAATATATAAATAATAGATTTAATGAAAGATAGATGTAAAAAATCTCATAAAAATAAACATTAATTATGAATTAAGCTTACAATGAAACTAGATAGATGATCGCAGGACAGCAATTCAGGATGAGAAAGAGTTAAATTCCGGTTTATTCTTATAGATGTTTATCTGTTGAGTAATTTTTGTAAAGTTAAAAGAGCATTTCATTATACGACAGCAGACAGGATAAGCATTATTATTGCCATATGATCTGGCCGAATGATTCGTCCTGATGTCACTAAACACATTACTCGGTAGCCTGTGACATTATTATGTGCACACGCCTACGCACTGTTTTTTTAACGATATGGAATAGTCATAGCGGAAAGGCGTGTCAATATAGATTAATCGCTTCCTTCTACGGCGACATAAGAAACTTCTCGGCAAAATCGATTAATGCGATATTTATTAGCATATTAGCATATTATGTTATTTCAGAGTAATTTCATAAAACTGTCACTGCGAAAATATTTACAGACGGTATCAAAATAAGGAGATTCTATGAATAGCAATCTCCTACGCTTAGTTCCGACTTTTTGTTATTTTTGTATATATATTTTTTCAATCGGCGGACTATTCTTGCGAGAGTTTCGTGATAGCGGCTTAATCCGTCTCTTCGATGCGACGAACCTTGTAACAGGTATGTAACAATGTCGCTAGTGTGCCAGTTACGCGTGTGTGGGAAGTGGTCCCACCTACACATCCACACCAGTTTCAAACCGTAGACACGCCGCACGAAGCCTAGTTTCCTTTACGATAATATACAGAGTGTCTTCAGAAAACTGTGCTTTTCGTTTAAAACTCCGTTATCAAATGTGAAGCTTGACCTTGCGATAGCCGGTTAATGAGTAGATAATTTGAATTGATTTATAATGCGAGATTAAATATAATCCACATATAATTATATAAAGTCTCAAAATTAAATATGCAAATTTCACAAGAAGTTCGCAACTTCGAATTTTCACGAATCAGACAGGTCTGTAAATTGTCTTTTAATTCATTTGTTTTTCACCGGCTGACGATTAATAATGTCTCTATTGGAAAGAAATTAATCTCGCAGTTGTTCGTAAATCTTTGCAAGCGGGAGATATTTCTCTCGGAATCGAGATCGTGACGTGGCGAAACGCTTTGTTCGTGCGTTTCGATATGTTTCTCGTCCACGCGATACACATGCCGCTGCAAACACGCGGAACGAAAGAAACCTCTTCGACCGCAGCCATCATTTCGTCTTCGTCATTAACTCTGTTTCAGCCGTGTCGGATAGCTAGCCGAGACCGAGTCCGCCGGCCGTTCTAAATCATGTGATTCGTTTTCCATCCTAATTAAGTAGCATTACGGATACAGTATGCTGCCGGGTTTGATATATGTAACGCGCTCGTTAGATATATCGGACACCGACGCGGAGTCACGCAGATTTAACTCAATTGAGGCTGAGTTGGCACTGGCTGTACAAACGCGCTTGATTCTAAGAAAAACATTTACGATGACTGCTTACCTGCTATGAACCGAAATACACTATTACGCATAACATTGTCGTTATGTATTACGTTATTGTATTACGTTATCCGATTGCATAGGGAAAATAGACTGCGCGTACCACACAAATTAATATCATTTTATTCGTTTGCTTACAGAAAAAATATACAAATTCTCCGTTTTAACTTATTTTTTAACTTATCTTTTTAACTGCGCGCCGAAGTTTTTAAGCAACGACGACTTTAATTAACGCGCGGAGAAGACGCAAACATATTATTCGTATCTTCAATGTTGTTATAAAACTACGAAACATAAGTATATACATTTATAAATAACTTACGTAA